TTCAAGAGCATACGGCGCGTCACAGAAGCAAAATATTATTTCGACCAATTAAAAATTAGATTTGTATTTTATTTTAGAATTAAAAATTTCACTCGCCACCTAAGAAAAAGTGACTAATGAAAGTTAAGAATTTTGTCAAGTGGCTAAAAACAACGAATAGTGATTTATTAGGATTTAAATTATTCAAGAAACAAAAAATTATCTTTAAAAAAAAATTAAAAAAAAATAAAACCTAAAACTAAAAATCATCTTTATATATTAGCTAGGATTTAAATTATATGAAAACAATTGTATAAATTATATTTTGATATTAGAATTTAAATTATTAAAAAAATAAAAATTCTCTTTTGATATTAATGGTTTTACATATTTAAACATCTCATGACTGAGATGATAATTATATATTAGATTAAAATCATATCACAAATAATATTATATTTAAATGATAAACGACTACAATAAAGTTTGATACTTACCATTATAAGATAAATTTTGATAGTGTTTAGGATAAAAATAAAAATTGTTACTTAATTATAATTAAATTAAAATTTGTGATACCTACCATTATATATTGACGCATCATACGACCAACTAAATTTCAAATGAATACAAAACCAAATCAAATGAATTTTGTGTCAGTTTTAGGTCATCAATGGTTGGGTAATTCTTAGCTTAATTTTCAAAATTCATGTTTAAATTTATATTTGCAATTATTACTTATACTTTATTTATTTCGATACTTAACGACTATATGTTTATGGTTTGTTTATTAAATTTTGTTTTTACATCAGATCTAATTTGATTAAAGAATTAAATTCGAGCAAAAGTGATTAGAAATCAAAGTACGAGTTTCTCACCTGTTTAACGTACAAAACTTCCGCAAACAATATAGCTTAATAAGTTAGGATATAGTCCTATTGGACGAGGAGGTATTATATTTTTATAATTGTTTACATTTATTAAATTTGTTTATAAACCTTTGTAGTTTTTTATTAATTAATTTTATGAAAAAAAAAACAAAAAACTTTGTGATTTAGTTGGCTTATTCAAGTTATTAAATTAACTTTATTTCTTATATTTAATTACAGGGTGATTACGTTCATGCCTCAATTAAAGCAAACATTGTTCAACACTTTCGTCCAATATTGATTGAAGGAAAAGTTTACTCCATTAGATACTTCCAGTCAATCCAAATAAGAAGTAATATCCCATAGTGACAACAAAATAATAATTCAATTTTTCCAAAATAGTTTTTCGGGCAATTGGGGACAATAGAAAAATTCCAATGTATAGATTTGATTTTGTACAATTACAATTTTTAGATCAATTATTTCGTAATGATTTTTCTCTTTTGGGTAAATATATTGATTTATTTTATAAAATTGTAAGGATTAATTTTACTTTTGATAACATATTTGTGTTCTATTTATCCACTTTAGTTAGATGTAGTAGGTATGATTCTATCAACATAGAGTTAAATGGTATACATTGTTTTTTTTTATTTTTTTTTATTATTATTAATATTTTTTAATAATACTTCTTACCTATATTTAAAGTAGACATTTTGTTTCAAAAGAAAAAAAAAATTAAAGTAGACATTTTTTGAGATCATTCGGCGCGTCACATAAGCAAAGGTATGATTAGTATTATTTTGACCAATTAAAAATTAGATTTGTATATTTTATTTCAAAATTAAAAAATCACTTGCCACCCAAGCAAAAGTGATGTATGAGACAAATTTAAGAATTTGGCCATATAGATAATTAAAAACAACGAATATATTCAAAAACCAAAAATTATCTTTTTTAAAAAAAACTAAAATATATCGTTAAATATCAAAAAAAATTAATTATTTTTAAATTAAAAATTATACAAAATTATATATAAAAAAAATTATAGAATGAGATTTCATATATTTAATTTTACACGCCACTTAGGTTAAAAAAATTTATAAATAATGATTTAGCATTTAAATTATTTTAAAAATTAAAAAAAAAAATTAACTTTTCACATTGAATTTTTTATCCTAATAACCATCACATGATATAACATATATAAATACATTAATTTGAAAAATAAAAAAAATGATTTACAATTATTTTAGTAAACTATGATTTAGGATTTACTATATTTAAAAAAACAAAGACCAAAAACAAAAAAAACAAAAAAAAAAAAAAAAAATTACATTTAATATTCTGCGCATTATAATTGTGTGTGATTAGCCCCAACATGTAGGTAGGACTTGAGAGTTTTAAATTATTTAAAAACAAAAAACAATCACACGAGCATTATAATTACATAAAATTAATAGAAATTATCTTTAACAAATAATATAAATTAATCAAAATTTTAAACAAAAATTATCTTTTCGTGAGATTTTATTTTAAAAAAAAAAAATCGTGCATCGTACGGGTTTACATCTAGTATATACTAAAGGCGAAACCAGGAATGACACGTGTCATCTCTTGGTTAAAAATTTTACTGCAAAAAATAACATTTTTTTTTGTTCTGCTTTTTCCAAAGCTTCATGAGGATATTTCATATTATGCAATTATATTTCCCTTCCTATTTGGTAATTATATTCAATTTGTATATATTCAATTTGTATATATTCAACAAAAATATTATTCTTTTATTTAATAATATGCAATAATATCTATCTATAAGTTTGCAATGTAATTCATTTTTATTTTATTTTTTTATTATCATGAAGGTAATACTCTCACTATTTTTTTTTTAACTTTTTTAGTATGATATAATTTATTATTACTTTGTAGTTACAAAATTTTCATCTTATTTTGCAATTAGATGAAAATTTTTATAATTAAATAACAAGTTAAACTAATGATAGATGATGAAAATTACCGTGTATGGTACGGAACCTAACCTAGTGATATAAATAATTGAATCATGTCAACATCTAATGTTTTTTGAAACAAACTTTTTATTGTATAACGTTTTTGTAAAAGTAGAAGAGAACCAACAAAAATATTATTCTTTTATTTAATAATATGCAATAATATCTATCTATAAGTTTGCAATGTAATTCATTTTTATTTTATTTTTTTATTATCATGAAGGTAATACTCTCACTATTTTTTTTTTTTTTAACTTTTTTAGTATGATATAATTTATTATTACTTTGTAGTTACAAAATTTTCATCTTATTTTGCAATTAGATGAAAATTTTTATAATTAAATAACGAGTTAAACTAATGATAGATGGTGAAAATTACCGTGCATGGTACGGAACCTAACCTAGTGATATAAATAATTGAATCATGTCAACATCTAATGTTTTTGAAACAAACTTTTTATTGTATAACGTTTTTGTAAAAGTAGAAGAGAACCAACAAAAATATTATTCTTTTATTTAATAATATGCAATAATATCTATCTATAAGTTTGCAATGTAATTCATTTTTATTTTATTTTTTTATTATCATGAAGGTAATACTCTCACTATTTTTTTTTTAACTTTTTTAGTATGATATAATTTATTATTACTTTGTAGTTACAAAATTTTCATCTTATTTTGCAATTAGATGAAAATTTTTATAATTAAATAACGAGTTAAACTAAGGATATATGGTGAAAATTACCGTGCATGGTACGAAACCTAACCTAGTGATATAAATAATTGAATCATGTCAACATCTAATGTTTTTGAAACAAACTTTTTATTGTATAACGTTTTTGTAAAAGTAGAAGAGAACATGGTCTTATTTAGAGAGCTAACTCAACCAAAAGCTTAAGCTGATGGTTGAGGCCTAGAAATATGTTTTATACTCTATCACGCCCCCTCACATGAGAGTCTTTTGGAATTAAAATGTGGACGCAGCATGAGCGCTCTGCATACCTGTCCGAAATATTCCACTTGAAAGTGAGGGGTGAATAAGGCATTTACCACAATATGGTAACAAATCAAAAGATAAACAGCCATATAATTAATTCCCAAATCAACACCTATCAATTAGGAGAGCATATCCTAATAATCTAAACAGAAATGGTGTATGCTCATGATTAACCCTCAACGCATAGTTGCTATTTGTTATTTATTTGGTATATATTTGTACAGATTTAAAAAGCTAGACCTTCAATTAAAATCAGATTAATCATATGAGATTTTCTCAGGACAATAAATTTTTAAACTCCCTTGTTAAAGAATGTTCAATATGCAACAAAGATTACAACTTTTTGTAAAAGATGATTTTATTATATTTAATTATGAGACAATTTTTTAACAATGAATCTAATATATAGAAAAATAACAAAAACCTATAAAGTCAATCAATTTACAAGAAATTAGTAGGGAGTCGAGAAATAATCTGGGGCCCCACCCCTCTAGCTATAGCGAACCCGATCTTGCTGAAGATGTAAGCAGCTGCACGAGCACCAATATCCTGAGTCCTAGCAAACGCCTGAACCCGCTTCAACAACGCAACAACATCCTTATCTAATTCCCCCAAAGAAGAAAAGGAGAAACAAATAAAACCATAACCAATTGTCCTGCAACGCTCCTCATACTTATCGCGCTTCCGCTGAGCCGCAGCTGACACAACACGACTAGGAACAAAGTCAGACAACCCAAACTGTGTTAAAGGAGAAGACTCCGTCAAGTCAACACATACATCAAGGCCTCTGTCCCAGGAATAAAACAACACATCTGCAGGTCGAAGAGCCCCACTGTTCCCTCCAATCAACCCAAAGTTTATCTCCTTTCTTGCAGAAATCCCAAACCGAAAACAAATATCAATAAGGGTATCACAAACGACGTTATGTCGGTGTTTAATACCCACCATCCCAGCACAAGACACTCCATGATCCCCATGAATGTCCGCATCAAAAACCCTTGAGCAAGCTGAACACGGCAGCTCCATATAAACCTCGACATCATGGCTATTTTATTTAAGAATTTGGATGCTATTTACCATTATAGTTCTAATAGAAACCATGGGATATAATTTGATGGTTCAAAAGTAATATAAGAGATGAAAATCTGCATGAGTAGCTTTAGCTTCAAAGATCATTCAGAAAATAATTATTTTCCATATAAGTACATATTACAGGAGAAGGTAAAACTAAGATAATTGAAAACTTATTTGTTTATAGAATGCAGAACACATTAGGCCACAAAGTGATGATAGAGTATGTCACATAATATCCTACAAATAGCAGAATTTCAAGACACATTATAGACTATGATGATGGTGGTTGCTTGGAGACCTCATTTTTAGGCAACTGCATAGAAGCTTCGGCAATCATAGCTGCTTGAGCAGGTGTTATGCTTTGATATTGGGAGGTAGCCATGGGGGCTGCAGCTGGTGGAAGTTGTCCTGTATAATATACCTGGTTATGACCATAATCAAATTGACTATAATCAAAATGACCATAATTATCCGGAGTGCCAGTCCTTGGCTGAACAACTGCATTATTGTACGCAAGATATTGCTGATATTGGTTATTTGTTTGTGCAGCAGTTCCTCTGGTAGCGTACACAGGCGGTTGAGCATGGGTTACTGATGAAGGTTGGACCATGGGTGTCATTGTCTGGGGTTGAGCAACATTATAAGGTTGATTTTGGTTTACAGGTATATAATACATTGGATACTGCTGATGATCAACTTGAGGGTGGATTTGTTGTTGTGTCGCATATACTGGCCGATATGATTGGGTCATTTGTGAGTGAGCCGGGATATAATGCATGTTTTCTTGAATGAATTGATGTTGGTGCTGTTCATGTTGCTGTGGAGGATACATATATTTGGTAGGGTCTTGAGTTGGCTGCATTTGGAGGTTTTGTGGTGAGGGAGAACGGTTGTCTAATCTTTGATCAGTGGTGGTTTGGGTGATTGGAGGTTTGTTCTCATTCGAGCTGGTTACTTGAGCTTGGTCATGGTGGACCGCCGTTTTAGTGAGAGAAATTCCTGAAGATATGCTGCTGGCACTGCCAAGAATGATATACATGTCAAAATATAAAACAAATTCCATTTACTTGGTCTAGAGTCCAGCCAGTATAAGTTGACATTTAACTAATGTCTCAGAAAAAAAATATCTGTGTCACAATTCATTTGTACTTTTTTTTATGTTCTGTAAGACAGATCTTTCACCATTAATATATATGTACTCCCTTTGTTTTTTATAGTTCAGCTCCGCTTATTGTATGCTTTTGTCTTTGGAATCACTAGGAAAAAGTGTGTAGTTGTAAGTCTAGTAAGGAAAAAGTGAATAAAACAGATGTGGAGTAAAAGAAGTACCTGTGAACAGAATCAGGGGATGGCAAGTTAAATCCAGCAGCATTCTTTGAGTCATTAGGCGATGGCGAATTAAAACCCCCACTCACTCTCTGCGGCATTGGTATTGGCAGAGGTGGCTTCCTTGATGCCCCGTGCATCCCCTGATCCGACAACTGATCATCATCATTCATACCGCTATTGATACCGCCATAGTTATTATTCATCACTGCAGCATTAGCAACTGCAGCACTACTTGGTGCTGAAGTAGCAGCTGGAGGTGGAGTAACCCTGAGCTGTGATGAGAAGTGCTCTTCCAATCCTCCTCTGCCCTTCATCTCTTCCTGCATCCTAGTATTTCCATCACCAACCTCATCTACTCGGACACGAATTGGAGGCAGGTGAGCCATAGATGGAGATGAGGTAGTCGAGTCAAAAGATGATGTGTTTTCAACCATTGGTGAGTCTGACATTATAGTATGTATGGATTCTACTGAATGTACATCCTTGGTTTAGAAAAGAAACATCCATATCAGTATCAATCTTTGATAATCAATACACATATATACCAATAAACTGATATACCAATCATAACTTACCATATACACCTTATTTTACAGAAGTATCTACTGCATCAATGCCAATAATAAAGATATTTCTTTTAATCCTTACTAAAAAGTTTAGCACTGCATATAAATAAACCCCTTGTCCAAATTGATACTATAAAATTGTTATGAATTCTGAATTCCCAATGTCATATATAATGCAACATCACAATCATATCAACGGAACTAGAAGATGATCTTACTTGGGGTGGGACTTTTGGTTGAGCAGCAGGATGAGAGCAATTAGGTGGAATTTGTTGCAATGCAGGGTCACTATCAAGCCTAAGCAGATCACCGACGGCAGCAGCCGAATCCGACAACCCTCTAGACAACAAATCCGCCCCATTAAGAGCATCAACGAACCAAGATTCAGATTGAGCATCATCCATCAAAGCACCCATGGTTTGAGCCGTCTCCGGCTTAGCCATAAACAGGAAAAGGCGCAGCCTCCCCGAAGTAGACTTCGAAAACGAGTTATTCGCAGCAATACGATCATATTCCTCAATCATGTTATCCAGATCCTCGTCAGTACTAACCGAGATCAACGAGTCTAGCTCCTCGTTCGGTAGCTGGTACTTAAAGGTGAATTTCCTGTTATCCAATAAAGAATGTGACAAACGAGCTGTGAGGTCGGCAAGAGAAGTGTTTCTCTCGGCGACAACGATTCGAGTCTCTCCGCCAACGTAGCAGAGGTTCTTATCATGTGGTCGTGGAATAATGTGACCTCCGTAACTACACATTAATCGGAGTTTCGCACCGGGGACTGGTGGGAGGGGCTCATCCCAATCTCCCTGTTGGGTTGTCGATTTTGGCGAAGAATCCACCGAATCTGAATAATTCACAGCTGGTTGTGACTGAAATCCCACCATGTTTGGTAGTGGTGGCTCCATTGTTCCCATTGAAATTTCTCAATTCCGGCCAAAAGAATTTGCCGGATTTCTTGTTGATTTCGATGCAAGAAGATTATTGATTTTGATTAATGGAGGTAGGAATTTAGATCTGAAAGCTTGAAATGAATCAACCAAGTTGAAATAAATTAGCGTGTTTGAGTGAAATTGGAGAGTGGGAGAGAAGAAAGAAAGAAGAGAGAAGGGGAAAATGAAACAGAGCGGCTTAGTGTAGGAAAAGAATAATGACGTGAATAATTTTCAGGGGTTTTATAAATTTCTCATTTATGATTCATGAAATGAATTGGGCTTTGGCGACTATTGAAAATGACAGGCTTAGATGGTTATATATAACTGGGTTAAGCAGGGTGAGTTTTAGTTGACTATTTGACTCAATTTAAACTTTGTAAATTAATTAAACGGGTTAGGTGGGTTATTTTTTGTTTAAGTTTCCTATCTTAATTAACTTATTCAAATTCAGGTTGGGTTTTTAGTCCGATTAGGTTTTGCCACTGCTACAATTTCTATTGGTTGTCTTAGTGTAAATTTGATTATAAAGATTATCACATTTGGCTAGTATACATATGGAGTTTTTGTAATTATTTATTTTGAAGAATTGATTTTAATAATCTTAAATGAGTGAGCGTATTCTAGAGTAAGCATGTGGCTTATCTATTTTTTTAAAAAATAATATCGACTTTCGATTATACTAGAATAATCTCAACTTTTCAAAAAGAAAAAAGAATAATTCCAACTTTAGAGAGCATTTTCCTTTAACAGTCCAAATGACCGTGATATATTAAAAGGCTAATTGCTTTTTTTAAAAAAAATTGCCACATGCTACAAGTAAAATGGTAAAAAAAAAATGAAACCCAAACACCACCAGCCCTTACCTTCTCTCCCCCACCCTCTCTCCTAACCCGGTGCCCCACCCACTCCCCTGACCTCACTGGTCGGCGATCCCAAGCCCTGAAACCGATAGGTCGTCTCACCCAATCCCTTGAAGTTGATCGATCAGTGCATCTTACCCCTCAAAACCCCTCCCAAAACCCCCCCTCTTCCTTTACCTCGGAAATCGTCCCCTTCCTTTCCTTACCCAGTTAAAACGACCCCACTCCCTTCCCCATCCACTGAAAATCACCACCCCCTCTCTAAGAAGGGGGGCGGTTTTGATGGTAGGGGAAGGAAAGGGGTTATTTTCCGAGGTGGGGAAGGAAAGGGGGCAGTTTTGTGGGTTGGGGAAAGGAAGGAGCGTTTTCCAAGGTGGGCAAGGGAAGGAGGGTTTTTCCGATGGGGGAGGGGGTGGAGCTGGGGTGGTTCGGTGGGGGAAGGGGGATTTTCTAATTGTATCATGATTTATTTTTAATTTTTTGGACAAATTATGGTTGGACACGTGTTAAGTAACTTGATATTATATGTTGTTAACTTTTGTTGACCGTTTTGGGACTATTAGAAAAAAATGCATCCTTTATGATAAAGATCAATCAAAAGTTGAGATTATTTAAAGAAAATCGTTCAAGTTGGAATTATTAAAACTTATTTTTATTTATTTTTGGTAATTAATGATAAGGTGACATATCAAAACAAAGTCTTTCATAGGTCAATCGACAGGAGGTAATAGTGTTATTTTAATCTGTTCTTTATTAATTGTCATTTTAATCCTTATTTCTTTTTGCATTTGTTAATTGATCAACTTAACCAGAAGATTAAGCTGGTGATTTATAAACCCAACGTGAAATATTACACTTGAAAGTGGGGATAAATGAGATTTTAACCCATGACCTTATTCTATTTGGGGTCAAAGTGTTTATCATCTTACCGTTTAGACCTTACAATAATTACACTCTATCATATTCTTACTTTATTCACATTTTCCTTACATTGTCCATCTTTTCATAATTTCTATTTTATTTTATTGTTAAATTACTTATACTACCTCCATTTCATATTATTTGCAACGATTTGACATAAAATAGAGAGAAAAAATGTCTAATCATTGCAAATAATATGAAACGGAGGTACTTTTTAAAATTGTTTTCTTATATTCATTTCACAGTAATCGTGTACACCATACATGAATGGAAGAAGTATTTTTAGAACATTAAATATTTTTCATCAAGAGTGGAGATTACTTATATAACGGTACCACAAAAAAAAAAAAAAAAAAAAAAAAAAAAATAAAAAATAAAAAATTTAATTAAATAAATTGGTATGGTGCTTTAGAAACGAAAAAATTAGCTGTCTTAATGGTGTAACATTTTCATTTACTGTGCCTGGTGAAGTAATGGTAAACGCGTGACTAAAACGGGAGTAACAGTGAAGCAAAGTGCAATGGATCTCTGGAGTAGTGAAGAATATTCATGCTTGTTGTTGCCAGCTACATTCTTAAAACATGGACCCGTTTTTTTTTTTTTTTTTTTTTTTTGTTGACGGAAAAAAAAACATGGACCCGTTATTGAATAATACATTATGGGTCTTTTGAATGAACGTCTTAATATATGAATAATACATGGGAGGTTTTTTTTTTTTTTTTTTTTTTTGTAAGAAAATAATGCATGTGTTTGGAATAATGCATAATGGTTTGAAACTTTGAATAATAAATAATAATTTGGTAATTAATGCATAATGGTTTGAATAATAATTAATAAATAATAATGTGGTAAATTATTTATAACATTTAATTCTTTTTTTTAATGGCAACGAATTCTTTTCAGATATTTACGATTTAATTGAGTCATTAATTAATGTATTCAAATAGTAATGTTATACATGCACGATATTTGCCTGATTTATTATAAATTTTTGGGGTTACCAAACACACAATGATACACAAATAAATTAGAATCTTGAAATTAAAAAAATAATAAAAATAAGAAATAAAAAAAGTTACCCATATTGGAACAATAGTCATTGGATGATGTATATGTAGCCATTTGGGCAACAAATAATACTACCTTCGATTACTTTTATATGCAACTTTAGAGTATTATTTAAAAGATATAAATATTCCAAAGTTGCATATAAAAGTAATCGGAGGTAGTATAAGCAATACATATCTTTACTAATTTGGTATTGTTTAGAAATGCACTAGCATAGGTCTCGTGCAACGCACGTTTATGCTAAACTTTTTAAAAAGTAAAAAAAAAAAGGCTTGGTATTTCAGTCACTTTTTATAGAGTAACTTTTTTAAGGAAATCATATACCGTAATAAAAAATAATTAGTCATATAGGCGGTATAACTCATGATCGACTTTATGTAATAGAAATTGCATTGGCACGATCTATAACAATGATAGAAAAGTTATTAAATAAATAGACAATGTCAAATATAAAAGAAATTAATCAAAGGGTTGTAAAAAATCTACTCCCTCCGTTCCTGAAAGTTCGACTCAATTTGCATTTAAGCAGTCTCCAATGAACATCTTTGACCATGAATATCTTTGGCTATGTATAAGTGAAAATTATAAGAAGTTGATATTTGAAAATTTTATAATAAGGGGAATCTAATAAGACCCCTCATACTAATTTATTTCTATTGTATAAACCATAAGATGTGGTCAAAGTTATTTTATTTTGACCAGATGAATAGTAAGTGAGTCGAACTTTCAGGAACGGAGGTGTGGGGAATATTTTAAACATCGACTTTGAGCCCCACTGTGATCATACATTTAAGCATGGTGGCGTCCAAAGGGAAAGAAGCTAGAGCAAAAGAGTCGCCAGTAAGTTTTAGGAACTTGTAAACCGTCCACGGGTGTGAAGGTTACACCCCATCCATGATCACAGAGATCGCTAACTCCATAGTGGTCCTGAACCATAACTGGATATTCGGGGATGATGGTACGGATCCAACCTAAAAGAGATTGAACCCGCCTTAAATAGGCCTTTACTTAATTCTTATGATATTCATGTGCGCTTTCCGATCAACATACATACAACAAGTAATCCCTAAAGCTGTTTAATCTACGTTGGTTGATTATAAATGCACAAATAAATCTTATTGGCGATCACTTGAATTAAAATCATATTAAGCCTAAAATCAAATTATTAATTATTTTATTAGGCGTGATTCAAGTACAAATTCCCTTAAAACCTGCAAGAAAGGGGCGTGATCAAGCAATAACAATAAATCATGAATAATCAAGCAACGTAATAATAATTGACACAACAAATCATCACCATCATAATAAAGCAATATCTCTAAAATAATATTAGCAAGATCCTAGGCATGATACTAAACAAATTAATAACAAACCCTAGCATGTCACTAAATAAAAATCAAAGCTTTAGCCTAAACATGATACTAGGAAGCATGATAGTAGAAATATTAAAATAACACCCTAACATGATACTAGAAATCATAAAAACATCGTAACATGATACTAGGAATTAAAATAATACTCTAAGCATGATTTTCTATATCAAAGGAATAAAGATAATAGATCTACTCACTTTGATGCCTCATACCTCTTTCTTTCACGTCGAGGGCGAAGGCAACTTCGAGCTTGGCTACGTGTATTAGAGTCTCGTAAAAGACATATGGTGTTTGTGTATTTAGGCTAAGGCTAAGAAAGAGAAAGAGAGAAAGAATAAGCTTTAGCTTAGAGAGAGAAGGATCATGATTGTTGGTGAATAAAAACGGAGGAAAACGACCCTTATTTATAGAGAAAAAACGACCGAAAAGATTAGAAAACGATCAGAATTCTACCCGGAATAAAACAGGATTCATCGCGTCGCGATGGGGATATCGCTACGCGATATATATTCATCGCTGTGCGATATTTTCATCGTTGCGCGATAATTTTCAGAAGATAAGACTCGTACAGAATCCGAATTCCAATAAAATTGGGTTAGTCGAATATCCGTACTTATCCTTATTTTATAGAGTTAAATCTATTAAAAACACTCGTTTTATTCGAAATAAAATTCTTAATCATTATCTTTTCTAAACAGGATAATTAGAATATAAAACAACCTTCTAGAAGATTCTAGATGATTAAGATAAATTCTAATGGTTTTAGAAATATAATGGACCCTCCACATGATCATTGGGTCCGCTCGGTTTGGGCCCAGTTTAGTATTTTGGCCATAACTTACTCGTTTTAAGTCAGATTTGGGCTTATAATTTATCGTTGGAAAGATCTTTTCAAGACCCATCCAACTACACAATTATTGGACTCATATTATGGACCAAAATAAACTGATTTGGATGTTTTTAATAAATAGGATACGAAATGAATGATTTTCAAAGACATGAAATGAATGATTTTGGGTTTAAAGGTACGAAATAAATGATTTTGACTTAAAACA